GTATATACATTATATATTACTAATACCTAAATCACTACGAGCTATACATCCGAGAGTTTTGTAGCAGTTAGCTTTTGTAGTTTATCAGCTCAAATTTCAGTGAATGCACGCAAAGTCTTATCAGAATTGACCAAAAATGTGTTTCATTCCATTTCGTTCCTCTATACTAATTGAAATGCATTATCAGCTACTCGTTCTATACTCACTTTATTTGCTTTTACTGCTTCACTTCATTTTCTTTCGTTCGCTTATCTTCTCCATTCCATTTAGTTTCAATCTAATCTATAATATAATTCTATGCATTTCATGGTACTCTTTCCGTTTCCTTGAACTAATGAATATTCGTAATGATTAAACGTGTTGCATTCCATTTCGCTTCTGTCTACTGTCCAATGTGGGTTTACATTATAATCTTCTTACTTTTGTGTAACCTAATTATTATGCATAACTTTTAAACGTAGTCCATTCCATTTGAATGCATTTCATTAAACTCCTCTCAATTCGCTGAATTAATAATTATCCATGGCTCTGTAAAGTGTTCCATTTCATTCCACTGTGCTCGGCATGCGTTGCAGCGTTCTTTTAATGAAGATATTCTTTTGTTTTCCCTGTGCGTTAATCTTGACTCCAAACCCAATTCCATTCCATTATGCTCCGCACTTATCTCAGCACGAGTTGCATCGAATTATTCGGGGATATTCACTTGTTAGTCTATTGTTTATTGCTGACACAAAACATTTACATTTGCCTCTCTCTCTCTCACTCACTCTTTTTCTGTCACTCTCTCTCTCTCTCTCTCTCTCTCTCTCTTGCATTGAACAAATGCAAATTTCATGCCTTCTATGCAATTTTAAATGCTTTGCTTATCGCATCGTTTCATTCTATTCACTCTCACTCTCTCTCTCTCTCTCGCTCTGTCTCGCTCTCTTTTACTCCTGTTTGTCATTTGCATAGTCGATGCATATGCATGAGCTCTTCGTGAGAGTGGAGGCGCTGACACTCCGGCCATGCCCTGCCACGCCCCGCTGTGCCCTGTCATTGAGTGAACCAAAAATTATCGACACTTAAAATGTTGCAAGCGTCGCTGGATTTTCTGTGTCCTGGCCCAGGATATGCTCGAGCCTGACGCTTATGTAATCTAAATGTTTATGCAGCTTATGCTTCATAAATTTCCCGCCAGCCGAAACAGAGCGGCGAGAGAGCGACGAGGCGGGGCTAGGGGAGTGGCGTCTGATGTCTTTGTCTTCCGGTGCGCTGGCCGCCATTTTGTGCGCTTTGCTTTAGCTTCCGCTGCGATGTGCCATTTGTTTATTGCCCGTTTTCATTGCTTCATTTCGCACCAGCCCCTGCTCCCAAACACCGTTGCCGACCCCTACCCCTACCCCTACCACTCTTCGGACACGCCCCATCTTGGCTGATGAAAATATTTTTACGACAAGTTCTTTTTTCGCCAAGATTTGCAACATTTGCAGAAAAGCAGCAAATAACAAGTGAAAACGCTTAAGAACGAAAATAGTCGACTGAGCGATACTCTGTTAATGATGCTAAGTGAAAAGAAACTCAATTGAATAAACGCAACTTTTAAGATGACGTAATATACCTGCGTATCCTATTCTTATCCTAACTCACTTGACGAAGGATAGATACTGCTGTAAATATGCTCCATTCCATTTCAGCACAAATATTTACATATTTCTAAAATAAATAAATTTCAAATTAAGTCAACTATCCCACTCACTGAATATCCCCTTTTATTAATTTTTTGCTAAGGTATTTCAACGGAAGTTTTGGGAATCAGCGCAAAGTGAACGGAGCACGCTGCCAGCGCCAAATGAAACGCACATTTTTGGCCATAAAACGCTTAACGTGCGCCCCTCTCAGCTGCCACGCCCACGTCCCGTGCTCGCTGCGCTTTTAGCAAAGTAGCAGCCGGAAGTTGTCATGTTTTATGTTAACATCAGCGGCAAGAGCAGCGGAAGCAGCAGCAGCAGCAGCAGCATCAAAGAGTGTGAGTGCAAAAGAGAGGCACAATGTTATGTGAGCACCTCCGTTCTCCCGCTTCGTCCACGCCATTACCTTCCTCTTCCACTTCCTCTTCCTCTTCCCCCGGCAGTCATGAATTTTGCATGCGCCAGCAGAATTGCAAAATTATAATTAGGCAACTGAAACTGTAACTGAGACAGAGACAGAAAAAGAGCGAGATAGAGAGAGTATAAAAGAGAACTGACACAGGGACACTGGGCAATAACTATCCAACAGTGCCTTACTCCCTTGCCCTCTGCTCTATATTTCTCCGTCTCTTTGCTGCATCTATTTTAATGTGTGTCCCAGCTTCTTCTTCTTCTGCGTGTTCCTTTTGCTGTTTGAAGTCCACGCACGTTCGCGCATAAAGTTCATTTTATTAGCTGACGTTTCCCACTCCACTCCACGCCACTCCTCTCTTTTGCTCCTTTACTCACTCACTCGCTGTCCTGCTCTCGCTTCTACTCGTGCTAGTCTGTTCAGCTTGCGTTCATTTCGTTTTTGCATTCTGCTGCCATTTCTAATCTGCGACGCAAGTTCGTGCGCATTGTTAAACAGTGTGACCAGCCGCCTGATAGGTGGCTAATTTTGAGATCCGCAATAACGACTTTATATATGTCTATCATAAATACCTGCCAAAACTATGAAAATAATTCAATTTTATTATTGTTATTCATAAGTTGCATTATTAAATAACTTATAGCTAAAAATATATATATTTAATTTAAATCAATTCCAACAAACGATCTTCAGCTGGTATTTAAATACATCGCATGTATGCCGCTTTTTAATTTCCATAGCATGGTCACACTGTTCGCGTTTTAGTCTGATTAGCAAAGTGCAAAATTTGGCTGCTCTTCCTTTCCCATTCTACTTCAAATATTTCTCTATTGCTTATGCGTAATAACTTTTAGTTGAGTGCCACGCCCCTAAACGGGGAGCAAATAAATATTCAATTGCAAATGGCTGACAGGTGGGCTAGAGGAACAAGAGAAGGTAGGAGATACATGCATAAATACATACATATATAGATATGTGTATGTATGTATGTGTATCCCGCCGCCAAATGGACGCGTTCAAATTGCAAATTGCGCTCGTTTACAAGCGAAATAAATGCGCGCGCGCCTTGCCATTAGGCTAACCCCCACTCCTGCCCACTCCCTCACATCCAGCGACCCCGTCCATTTGCCTGGTTAGAAAAATGAAGCGTCGTGCCGCAAAAGACAGTCAACCGGCACTTGGTCGGGCAGAGCGGGTGTGGGGCGATGGCATTTTTGTGTTGCGTGCCTTTTGGGCGCATAATTAGATAAGCAGCGCAATGTCTAGCCAAGCCCCGCTTGGTCCCCTCTCACGCTACGCCCCTGTGGAGCAGGCAGACAATGTCACAACAAGTCGCTGACAGATGACGCGTCATAAAAGCTGAGACGACGACTCCGACTCCGACGCCAACGACAACAGCGGCGCCAGCAGCGGGCAGCAACAATGCAAATGTCTGAGGTTAGGATCGTTCATGCCAAAGGCGCAACTCGTGGAAGTTGTTGTTGTTGCTGTTGGTGTTGGTGTTGGTGGGAACTGGCATTTGGGATGGCTGTGGCCGGGCGGGAGAGCGTCGCGAACGAAGCACAACATGCAATTATACGCAATCAACATAAATCATTCAAATTGCCACGCAAAAAGCGAAATGTACACTTTGAATGTGGCCAAAGTAAAAACTGAAGCAGGCCAGCGTCGAAAGTAAACAGAAAACAGAGAAAAGAAGATGGCGCCGAGCAAGCAGAGCGTGAGAAAATAGAGAGCAGCTGGCCAAGGCATGCACCAACTTAAATACCCTAACAGACAAGCGTGTGGCATTATTTATTGCCAAAAAGTATTTAATTTGTATTTTAAATACTATATGTAGGTAGGTAAGTTTTAACATATTATTTAGAGTACATACATACATACATATATGTAATATGGTATTTTCTTCGATGTTTAGCGACAGCAGCATAGCACCCGGAGCAAAGGGTATACGATAAAAGCAGAAAAAGAAACTGAAAAGCAAAAGGAGCAGCAGGCAGCAGCAGAGGCAGCGGACAGGGAGCAAGGAGCAAGGAGGGATGGGCTAATTTGCAATTGAAATGCCTAAGCCAAGACAAATTTGGTGCGCGCATAAGGTTGGGCGCAACAAAGCAGAAAAGAAGGTGAAAGCACAGACGTGTGAAGAGTAAAGAGCAGGTGGATAGAGGACAACGCAGGACAATACAAAATGGGGCACGACCGCATTACGCATACGCCGCGTTGTCAACAATTTAATGGCGCGCATGTATATGTGCGCGTCTGTATATGTGTGTGTGCGTGTGTGTGCTGTTGTTGTTGCTGTTGCTGTTGCTGTTCGCTCAGTCAGGTAACTGACAAATGCGACAAGCGCACGTGATCACGGGCCAAGGACAAGTTTGTCCGGTTGAATCTCGATGGCAGAGCAACGAACAGTTTTGTAACCAACTGCCTTCAGCAGGCTATCGGCCCCAACTATTGTGGTCCAATCATCAGAGAATTTGGTCTATGAATTGCTTGCCACAGGGCCAAATTGAAGCACGTCCGTATGCAACCTTGATAAATAAAAAGTATTACATGCGATTCATAAAGTCAAATAACTGAAATGATGATGAAATTTACTCTAATGGAATTCAACAAAAAACAAACCTAAACCCAGCGCTTAAATAGATAAATAGAACTCGCAGACTATTACACATTTATAAACGACTTCTATGTATATGAAATTAGAAATTTGAGAATGTACTAAGTCAACATTTTTGGGTGTGCATTACACACCCCAATATTATTAACCGGAAATTATTGTATTATCAATGCCATTGTTTGTATCATTCCCAGCATACTTGTCATAATAATTTTAATAATCATAGTCATTATAATTCTCAGAAATGAAAAGCAACCAAATTTAGAAAGCTTATATAAAAACTTAATTGTCAATATTATTATATAATAGATTTGGAGTTACATAGTTATTAAATTTAGTATATGGACTGCTCTCATTGAATTTATAATAACCACGCTTAGGAACCAACTCGAAAATATTCGCCAACTTGTATACTTTTATAGAATTTCCAACTAAATCAAAATTGCTTGCATGAAAGACGGAAAAGAAACTATATACATATATCTAAATCTATATATGCGTATATCTATAACTATATATATATATATATATATATATATATGTAGAAGATGGAAACTTGAAATTTTAGCCTGATTAGTTCTAATCGAAGAAGGGGTCTTCTGCCTGTCTATATATTAATGTAAACGCGCCTGTGTCTAATGTCTGATAAACTAATATCTGATAAGCTAACAATGATTTTCGTACATATATCTAAGGTAAACATATGCACATGAGGAATTTAATATCGAAACTTTGAACTTTGGCTTAATTTTCGAACTGTTGTCATTTCTGCTGGAAATTTGAATTTAAAATATCTGCTCATTTGCGTGAATCTGCTTCCTGCGGTTGCTGTCTAAGCTATCGATAGGTTTTTGTTGTGTTCGTGTATTAGTGTGGTGGCAGTTTCGAGGTTTCAAGCAGAGGGAGCAGTCATAGAAAGGTGACAGACGCCGACAGCGAACAACTCCTCGGATATCAGTCAAATAGACTGGGCTCCTGATCCTCAATGGGCGTGCCAAAGAGGTGCGCCAGTGTTAGCTGCGTATAGGCAATGACTGCCGCCGGGCATAGGGCCAGTGCCTCCTCCAAGGTTACCCACTTGGAGATCTCATCGCCCGGACATACCACATGCATATAGACGATATCATCCATTACCGTATGGCTAATGATGGCCATTGGGCTGCTGTGACCGTTCGCATTAGTCAGCGTCGTTGGATTCAGATTGATAACCATCTGCGGGCGAGAGAGGGCGGGCATGAGGATGGACAGGGCTAGCGAGAGAGAACTTACTTTAAAATAGAACGAAATTCCCGATTCTGTAGTTAGCTCGTCCTGGGTGAGCTAATTGAACGGGTCTGCGGTGTTCTCCAGGTGTATCTTTACGTATCTGTTGGTCAAGAGGACTTACAACTCTTGTTCTATCCCTCTCACTCTTACTCTTACTCCCTCTTTCTCTCTCTCTCTCTCTCTCTATCCCACTATTTCTCACTTTCTCGTTCATAGGGTCCTACTCACACACACTCTCTGTCTCTATATCACTCTTCCCATTTGCCACTCGCCGCTCTAGAATCGGAAAGGGGCCTGGGAGGGGAGTGGTTGCTCTTGCTGCCTTCTCTAATGGTACTTCACTTAAAATCTCTTTGACTACTTGCGACTTTCTGTTTTTGATGTGTAGATTATAATTTAAGTATATGTATGTTCAGTGAAATTCATTTAGCCTGACTGAATCTGTAGTCCCGAAAGGCTACTACGAATCAGTTTCAATAAAAGCAAGCTTTTATTTATCGATAGATATCGCAGAACGAAGGAAGATCAAGGCGGAAATAGTGACAGTAGAGAGGGAATGCGAGAGGAAAAGTAGAATAAAAGAAGAGAGATAATGTGAAATGACAGATGAGCAGAAAGATGTAAAAAAAAATTAGAGAAAGAGAGAGAGAGAAACAGAATAAAATAAATGAAGAGAAACAGTGAGAGTGAGAAAGAGATACCGAAAGATTATGAGATACACCTAAATATAGAAAGGGCACCACACAGAGCTGAGGGGAGCAAGAAATAAACACACAGAAATAGAGAGGGAGAGAGTTTTATATATAGCGATAGGGAGATATATAAAACGTGATATAGATAGCAAGAAAGAAAAAGACAGAGATAGGAGCGATAAATAGCAACAGAAAGAGAGCAAGGTGTGAAGATGGTTGCATACACGTAGAGACGTTGGGAGAGAGTTAGACTCGAACTGATGAGAATCGCAAAGAGAGGAGATATTAACAAACATAAGCTGTTTTCAATGCAATTCTTGTCTGAGCTAACTGAACTTTGCTTAGCCAATTCTGACTCGGCCAATAGAAATAGAATTCAACTCGATTCAATTTTCAAATGAAAATTTAAAATTTCAGCTGCTCAACAGTTAAAGGAAAAGCGTTAACTGATTTTCATAACGAGCGAAAATCCGCTTCTGACTTCCTTTGGCAAATGATTAAATTGAAGGCGTTCGCGAGGTGTATGACTGCGTAATAGTAGGCGTGGCATGGGTGGCTTTGCTCGATAAAAGCCAAACGGCTTGCAACTGCCTTTCACTTTTCACACATTCCGCAATTAATTTCCGTTTGATTGTTTCAGTTGACTGCAGTGCAGTCACGCCCCCAACGCCTCCTAATGCAGCTTAATGGCATTTGGTGTATGTTTCGTCTGTCTGTCTGTCTGTGCGTGTGTGTGTGTGTATGTGTGTGTGATTTACGCGCTGCATTTGCTGCCATAAATAAAGCGCTAAACACAGCAGACGGCGCGCAGGAGGGGGCGGGGAGGGGGCGTGGCTGGGCGCCATTGCCATTGTCGACAAGTTGGTCCTGTGACTTTCATTTGTACAGTTCATTTGTTGCCCGCAACAGCAGCAACAGCAGTAGCAGTAGCAACAACAACAACAACAACAACAACATGGGACCCAGAGATACCCGGCTCATGCTTCCTGCCATTTCCTACGGCTGCCTCCTGCGTCCTGCCTAACTTATAAGCAACCATGTTTATTGCTTCTCCATTGTTGTCTTTGGCTAATTGCTGATGCAGCAACAACAGCAACAACAGCAGCAGCAGCAACACCAACAACAAACTAACTAGCAACAATTGCTCCCAGGCCATCGATTTTGATTCAATGCTGCAAGAAATAAAGTTTGAACAATTTTAAGGACGCAATTTGTGGCAACTGTCAGTTGCATGCATGTATGCAGCATGCGCACAGAATGGGCGAGCGTAAACGGCAGCAGGGTGGCTCATGAAATTGAATAATCGCACCGAGTGTAGCACACTTTCGAGGGCAGCCATGAAAAATGGCGTACAAATTGTAAAATTTCACATCGAAAGCCCCACTTGAGTCCAGTTGAAAGCGATTTAACTTTCATAGAGAAAGAGAAGGAGAAAGAGGAGAGGAAGAGAGATAGAGCGCCTCTCTCTCTCTCTCTCTCTCTCTTTCTCTGTATATTGTCGAATATTAAATGCGCTTCAGTAATTGTTCCTGAGGGAAACTATTGATAGATAGACATGATGAGTCTTAGTCATGTCTATTACACTTGAAAAGCTGATTGATTGATTGAGAGATTGGCTAGCTGATAGATAAAATGATTGACTGACTGATTGAAAGATTGGCTGACTGATGGATAAAGTGATTGACTAAATGATTGAGACATTTTCTGACTGATGGATAGAATGATTGACCGAATGATTGAGACATTGGCTGACTGATGGATAAAGTGATTGACTAATGGATTGATGGATAGAACGATTGATTGATTGAGACCTTGGCTGACTGATGGATAAAATGATTGACTGAATGATTGAGACATTTTATGACTGATGGATAGAATGATTGACCGACTGATTAAGACATTGACTGACCGATCTATTAAGTGATTGAGTAATGGAATGTTAGATGTCTATCCAACAATTAGTCTGATTGACTGAATGACTGAGAGTTTGGCAAGCATATGGACAGAAGGATTGTTTAATGGAATGATGGATAAAATGATTAACAGAATGATTGAGACGTTGCACAGCTGATGGATGGATTTATTGACTGAGTGATTGAAAGATCGGCTGACTAATAAATAAAGTGATTGACTAATTGATTGAGATATGGGCTGATTGATGAATAGCATGATTTACTGACTGATCGATAGAGTGATTGACCAACTGTTTGAATAAATAGCTTGACTATCCTTTTGCCAAAATATAAACATCTGAATGATTGATTGATTGATTGATTGCGCAATTCACTTCACTGACGGCTACACTATTGACGCAACTACTTTAACCGATTGACGGCCTGACTGTACGCCAGGACAGCAATTAAACGAACGTGCTGCTCATATGTGATTGACTTGCCTTCAAGCTAAAGACATATATTACACAAGACTTGAACTCGACCTGAGTACAAAATACGTCGGATACTTGTGCCTGTCATGCCATCGCAGCTGTTGGTTAATAAAGAAGCTAGCTAGCTGGCTAAGCTGTCGCTCTCGCTGGCATGAGTCGGCGAAAATGGCCCGACCTTTGTTATGCAGCAAGTATATATTATGTCTTTTAGGGTGACACTTCGAAATTAACATAATAAACGTGGTCCAGCACGAAGAGACAGGCGACGCGATTTTCGTCGAGTCATTGGAAGCAAAACTGATTTTCGATATTTGATGCGGCACATGCGACGCAGGCAGCTGCCACAGCTGCCACACCATGGGGCACACGCACACACACACACACACACACAGAGAGAACATCCTTTGCACCGTGCTGCGAGTTGCCCTTTGACGAGTCTTAATTAAGACATCGTTACGCGCCATTTTCCGTGCTCTGCTGATGGCATGACAATTGAAGTTTTGGCTTACACACACACGTACAGGCACACGCATTCACACATACACACTCATGCCTGTTTAAACGTAGATGTCTATTTGGCATTTGGTAGCTGAAGCGTTTGACGTGCATAATTAAAATTGCACATGTGAGTGAGAAGCGCGTAGAGAGGCAGCCAAAAGGCGAAGCCATCGCGGCTTATAATGAGCCGCCTCGTTGACGCTGCAAATGCGTTAAATCTTCATGAAACACATTTGACAGCCAAGATTCCAGAGACAAAAGCGAAGCAGGCTGTGGAGGAAGCTAACGTTGAGCTGCTTGGCTGCTTGGCTTGGTTGCTTGGCTGCTTGGCTGCATTCATTGCCTTTGCCTTGGATAGCACATAGCGACTTGGCTTCACATCCGCTTCAAGCGTTCCATCCGTCGACACATCCGTCGCCTAGCTGGCACATCCGCCTGCAGCTGCAACCAGCAGCTGACTTCATCCAGGTGCCTGGCCAAGCGTAAGATATTGGCAACCACAATGCAAACGCCATGCCAAGCACTAGTCTCAGACACTGCCACAAGCACACCGACACACCGACACACCACCCATCATCCACCATCCATCGACTCACCGCCCACCGCCCACCGCCCACTTCCGCCCAACTCTTCTGCGGCGATAGCTGGGCAATTTATTGCCAGCTTGAGTCAAGGTTCAGCTCGCATGCAAACTGTTCCCACAAAGCACTGAATCGACAGACACCTCAAAGTTAAGCTGCACCTAATCGAGCATTTCCCGATGCATTCAACTGTTCTCGATTGCACACACAAACTGTTCCCAAGTGATACGGTTTCTATTTAAGTAACAATTCGTGAAAGCCTCTCAAACGAATATCTCTTCTCCTGCCCATTCTCATTCTGTTCCTAATTAACGCTCTCCCAGTGTTTGCTTTAGTCTCCCACAAACGTGTTCTCAGTTTAAGTGTTCTCAGTGTATCGTTGCCTGTTCGTGTTCCATTTTACAGAACTTTTTCTGAGTCGTTGTTTTATATGAAACTAACTGTTCCCAAACTCCTCATTAACTCTTCCCAAGTATAGTTAATTTGGCGTTAAACAAAGTATAGCTCAAATAAGATCATTTATACAGTGAAAATCTGTTCCCATTCCAACTCATTATTCCATTATTTATTTAAACCTAGAAAGCACAGATTATGTAAGCTACACTCTGATAGCATTCACATTTTAGAGGATCATATCAAAAATATTCATCGAACTATGTTTTAACATGTGCTATCGAGCAAGATAATCGATAACATTACTAGGCTCTATATACAAATCGAACAAAATATCAAAGCCTTAAATCGTATCATTATGATGTACTAGAACATAATTTTAATCGATAACATTAATTTCAGATATTTAACTATATAATCGATAATAGTGTGATAACTCTAACAGCTATCGATCAAGATTATCCATAATCCAACTTGGTTCTATAAATATAGATCTGGTAAAAGAACAAAGTCATAACTCATAGTCCAATAATTTCAATCGATATCACTAATTTCATATATCTAGCTACATTATCGAAAAAAGTTATGAAGGCATCTCAAACAGCTATCGATCAAGATAATCGATAATCCAACTAGGTTCTATAAATATATAAAGTTACAAATCGTAGTAGTAGAACATAATTTCAATCGACAACACTAATTACAGATATCTATCTATATTATCGACAATAGCTATGTAAGCATCTCAAACAGTTATCGATAACTATTTTACATATAGCCCCAATTCAGACCTAAGTGTCAGAGCAATTAGAATCACCGAAAACAATTCGTTCTGATGCCATCAGCCCCAAGCAGGATGTGAGCGCGTAACTTTGTTGAGCTATGGGTGGCAGCACTCTGAAACTGTT